GGGTTTGACACAAAGCGCTTCTTTCGAAGCTCCCTTCCTATGGGCTTCCCGAGAAATTGTGCAATTGGATCACCAGCTTCCTTGCAGATCGGAGCATCAAGGTCGTTGTAGACGGTGCATGCTCTGACTACAAGCCTATTAACGCTGGTGTTCCACAAGGCTGTGTGCTATCACCAACGCTGTTTCTTCTGCATATCAATGATATGTTGCTAACTGGTAACATTCATTGCTATGCGGATGACAGCACTGGTGATGCTCTATACACCGGCCGTGCCAATATTTCTCGGGAAAACGTCGCTGAGTACCGGAACAAACTTGTGTCTGAAGTCGAGTCTTTGCTGAGCAAAGTCTCGGATTGGGGGCGACTAAATCTAGTCCAGTTTAATCCTCAGAAGACACAAGTTTGCGCGTTTACCGCTAAAAAGAACCCCTTTGTCGTATCTCCTCAGTTTCAAGGCACTCCCCTTCTTGCCTCAGCCAGTATCGGTATCCTCGGAGTCGACATATCGAGTGACGTGCAGTTTCGTGGTCACTTGAAAGGGAAGGCCAAATTGGCCTCTAAAAAGCTTGGCGTGCTCAGCAGAGCGGGACAGTATTTCATGCCGGCACACCGCCTGCAACTTTACAAGGCGCAAGTTCGGCCTCACATGGAATACTGTTCCCATCTCTGGGCAGGGGCTCCCCAGTGCCAGCTCCTTCCACTTGACCGCATCCAACGCAGAGCTGCGCGAATCGTCGACGACCGAGCCCTTTCCGATCGGCTCGACTCATTGGCACTGCGAAGAGATGTTGCATCCCTTTGCATTTTCTTTCGCATCTACCATGGGGAGTGCTCTGAGGAATTGTTCGGATTAATCCCAGCCGCCAAATTTCACGAACGCACATCGCGGCAGAACTCCCGATACCATCCACACCATCTGGATGATTGGCGGTCCACCACTATGCGATTTAGAAGATGTTTTCTTCCTCGCACGACCTCCTTGTGGAATCGATTACCATCAGCGATTTTTCCGGACCGATACGACTTAGGGACCTTCAAGAAAAGAGCCTACTCCTTTTTAAAAGGCCGGCAACGCATCTGCGATTCCCCTGGTGTTGCAGTTGTTCATGGGCGGCGGTAGTCACTTACCATCAGGTGAGCCGCATGCTCGTTTGCCCCCTCTCCTATAAAAAAAAAAAATTAAGAGCCGACTTCAGAGCTATTGTGTGGAATTGTGGTTTCATTCTTTTTAGTTCGTTTCAATTGGGCTTTCGCTTTTTATTGACAATTTAATTTTTTAACCCTTTCGAGTGGACTAAGGAATGCCACAAGCTACATCATCATCATCATCATTACAGCCCTTCACAAGTCCACTGCTGAACATAGGCCTCCCCCAAGGAATACCACGGTCCTGAGCCACCTGCATCCATCTACTTCCTGCATGTCTTACCAGGTCGTCACTCCATCTCGTGGGGGGACGCCCTACACTTCGCCTACCGGTATGAGGCTGCCACTCGAGAACCTTTCTTCCCTATCGGTTGTCGGTTCTTCGAGTTATATGGCTGGCCCACTGCCACTTCAGCTTACTAATCCGTTGGGCTATGTCGGTTACTCGGTTCTACTGCGGATATCCTCATTTCTAAGTTTATCACGCAGAGGAACCTCGAGTATAGCCCTCTCCATAGCTCGCTGAGCGACCTTTAGCTTCCTCATACGACCAGCACTGAAGGACCACGTCTCAGATCCGTAAGTCATCACTGGCAACACGCACTGGTTGTACAATTTCGTTTTAAGGTTTTGAGGTGTGTCTAACGAGAAGATGTGTCGTAGCTTCCCGAACGCTGCCCAGCCGAGTTGAATCCGTCGATTGACCTCTCGGTCGAAGTTGGACTTACCTAGTCGGACTATTTGTCCCAGGTAAACATACTCGTCAACAACTTCGAGCTTAGTGCTCCCAACAACTACCGGCATAGGTGTGAAATGGACATTAAACATAATCTTTGTTTTGTCCATGTTCATCTTAAGACCTATCCGTTGGGAAACACGATTGAGGTCATTGAGCATAGTGCTTAGGTCCTCCAGCGATTCTGCCATAAGGACTATATCGTCGGCAAATCGAAGGTGAGTGATGTAATCGCCATTGATGTTGATACCGTATCCTTTCCAGTTCAGAAGCTTGAAAACGTCTTCCAATGCAGCGATGAAGAGTTTCGGGGATATGACGTCACCCTGTCATACACCTCTCTGCATTTGGATAGGTTTTGTACTCTGGTTCTGTACTCGGATAGCCATCGTAGCCCTACTGTACAAGCACTTCAACACTTCGATATACCGACAGTCAACTTGGCACCGCTGAAGGGACTGCAGCACCGCCCAAATTTCGACGGAATCAAAGGCCTTCTCATAGTCCACATACGCCAGACATAGTGGCAAATTGTACTCTTCGGACTTCTGTACAATTTGCCGAAGGGTATGTATGTGGTCTATGGTGCTAAAGCCCTTTCGGAATCCGGCTTGTTCGGGAGGCTGGAAGTCATCAAGTATGCGCGCGAGACGATTCGTAATGACTCTCGAAAACAGCACGTAGACGCGGCTCAGAAGGCAAATGGGTCTGTAGTTCTTCAAGAGAGCGTTGTCACCTTTCTTGAAGAACAAGACCACCGCACTTCTGCTCCACGCCTCCGGTGTAATGCCACCATGGAGGATGAAATTAAAGAGCTTCTGAAGGACTTTAAGTACCGGTCTTCCACCCGCTTTCAGAAGCTCCGCTGTAATTCCATCCTCGCCTGGGGCCTTACCGTTTTTAAGGTGCTGGAGAGCCATTCTAATCTTGCTCAGACTGACGTCCGGGATATCTTCGGAATAGTGTCGGATGAGACTCGCTCTTGGATCGTTACTCACACTTGCGTGTGGCTCCAACGATGACGTGTATAGCTGCCCATAGAACCTCTCAATCTCACTCAAAATTTCAGGTGTCCCGGAAACGATGCTGCCACATTCTGTCTTCAGCTTTGACAGTTGGCTCTTTCTGGCAGACAGATCTCTGGCAAAGACTTTGGAGCCTTGGTTCCGCTCGATCGCTTCTTCAATACGAGTTGTATTGATGTTGCGTAAGTCCCGCCGCATGCATTTGGAGATCTGTCTGTTCAGATACCTGTATGCTCTCAAGTCTGTTGAAGAATGTAGCTTCATCTCCCGTCTAACAGCCAAGAGATTAAGAGTGTGATCGGAGAGTTTTTGTGTTCTTCTGCGGCGGGTCTTGCAGAACTTAGCTCCGACCGCATGGACAGTTTCCACGAGCTTGTCATTCATATCGTCCACTTCATTGCAGTCTTCTAGGCACTGAAAACGGTTTTGTAACTCGAGCTGAAAGGTTTCGGGACTTTGGAACAGAGCACGAGGGGGACGGAGCGTTGACTTCATTAGACGAAACCTCTCCAACTTAACGTTTAGGTTCAGTGTGCCTCTAACCATTCGGTGATCGCTACCAGTTTTCACCCTCGCGATCACGGAGACATCACTGAACAGTTGTCGTCTGGTCGTCATAATGAAGTCAATCTCATTTTTTGTCGAACCGTCGGGGCTCGACCAGGTCTACTTCCTGTGGGGCCGCTTCTGCAAGAAAGAGTTCATCATAAAGAGTCCCTCTTTCTCCATGAAGTCGCCGTTCTCTCTTGTGCCTAGTTTTGCATTGAAGTCTCCCATTAACACCGTATATTGGGTTATGGAGGAATGCATAGCTCTAGAGATATCCTCATACATTTCCTCCACCTCCTCATCGGGGTGTGCCGAGGTTGGTGCGTAAACCTGTATGACCTTCAGCGAATACCGTTTGGTGATTCTGAGTATAAGGTACGCAACCCTCGTCGACACACTCCCGATCTTTACAACGTTGTTAACGAGAGACTTGTGGACGATAAATCCGACACCTCCGTCGCCCGCCCGGTGATAGAGCAAGTTACCGGATTCGAGGATTATCGTGTCCTCCCCCTCTCTTCGGACTTCGGATAATCCTATAATATACCAGTGCAACTTGTCTATCTCTTCTTCCAGCTCCACGATCTTCTCGTCAGTTCTCAGGGTGCGTGCGTTGTACGTTGCCAGGTCGGGTCGTCTAAGGTGGCAATCGAACCTCCACCGGAGATTCTTAGCACCAACAAAAATTTCATCTAAATGGTTACATTAAAAATTTCATCGTCTATTATTTCACACTTAGGGTTAATTTTTTTTTCAAATTTAAATGGGATCACCGACAGTAGTATGACATTTAATAAAGTATAATTTAATCGGTTCACAATTGCCGGAGATATCGCGGAACATACATACGAGTACAAAAAAAGAACATTGAAAACGTCCTGATTTTTGTGAAGTATAAAAAATGTTTGTTGTTATATAATATTATAATCAAATAGTGTTGTGGCGGTGTAAGAATATTCACTACCCCATATCCTCCCATGGGTATCGTAAGAGGCGACAGAGGAAAGCTGAAGAAGGAGATGTGTAGCAGCGTCTTCCTCATGACACAGTTACTAGTACACCGGACCCATACGATAATATTGTTGTGTAACTTAGGTATACGGTACAATTTAATGTACATTATAATTTATTAAACACACCATTTCTGTTAATAATACGAAGTTATGTGTCAACACGCAGTCGAGAATGATGCATGTGTTTTCGGCAACGGGCGGATACCTTTGGCCATTGTGCATTCGTTGGTAAGGATTTGTTGAATGCTGCCATATGAAATTCATGTGATCTCGTATATGTCTGATCGCCAGTTTTCGTTCGGCCAACAAAACATTTGAACTTCTTTTACGTTAGCTTCGAATTATGGAGCAACTAGACTGATAAGTTAACTATCAGCGGGAATCGAAATCGGGTGGGTAGAGTAATGAGAAATTTACGTCGAGTGCCTTTTTAAGAACGTTACAATGTCAGCGGTGGACTTTGATGTGTTGTACTGATGATGAAGGTAATGACGATGATGATGAATTATACAGTAAATATAAAAACCTACAATAAAGACGACGAATGTGGAAATGCTGCTGCCGGCCAGCGGTGCGAGTGGTCGGTATATATGATCACGTAACCATGAGTAGACAACGCGGTTCCACGCGCGGATATACCAAGAAAATTGTGAACTCGTCCACCATTCCTGTAACCGAGAAAATTTCAACTTTTAGTATAGGTAGTGTTGGTAATTGGAAGACGGCTACATAGCTTAGTCATAGTACGCAGTTCACCTAATGGCAATTGGATGCGACAGCTCATACAAAATTAAGCATATCCTTGTTCAAACACTCATCTTGCCTGTCATTGATTATGCAGATGTTTATTACTCAGACTTGAACCAAAATCTTCTCAATAAGCTTGAGCGCCTTATTATATTTATAATAAAGTTTAAATAAACTGTATTATAAATTATGTGCGCTGACGTTGCGCCTCAAGCGAAACTCCCGTAAACCTAAATCACGCTATTAAAGTTCCGAAGTACTCTGGCAAATATAGAATTGCTCTGTTCTACCATACGGAGTTAGCCGTCATCCTCATGTAAATAAAATTCACGTCTATAAAACTTTCGTTAGATCTATCATGTCCCACATAAGTGTAACATTCGTTCACACGTATAGAATTCACCTATACGAGCTCCGAAAAATTCAAAATAACTTCATCCGCACACCACCGCGTATACAACGTAGACCCGCATATCTGGGCAGTTCTCACTGCAATACACAAAAATACAGTTGGTGCTTAGCTTTCGAAACGTCTTAAAAATGACTGACGACTTCATACCTATTTTGTGCAAAGCAGTCATTGTAATTGTGTTTTATTTACGGCCCACCCTTTAAAGAATTTAAAAATCACGGTGAATAATAGTATTTGAAATTGCGGCAAGTCGATCGAAGCTTATTACATAATATTAGTATTAGAAAAGAGAATTAAAAAAAGAACTTTTTTAATTGAAATAATATTTTATGGTCAGACTAGTTAAATAAACTACTAATCTTTTTGCGATTATGGTCCCAAAAATGGATAGGAATGCAAGTTTTTATAGCGACATCAAATATTATTATCCGATATTATCGATCGTGTCAAGCCGCTGTTCAGTATAAAACTCATTAAGTAATTTATTTTAGTGTAATAATATTTTAGTTGGTACATTTTCATTAAAGAATACTATATCAGCGTTTCTCTCTCTTTCTCTCTCTCTCTCTCTCTCTGTCTCTCTCTTTCTCTGTGAAATTCGCTAACGAGTTGCGGAGTACAAAGCGTATATTGTAAAAGTATAATTTAAAATAAAAATATAATATTAATTTTAATTAAAGAATTCTTTCATATTTGATAATGGATCGTTACTATTAATATACATAAAATATGATGTGGGAACTGAGAGTTCTAATTTGTTTTACAGACAAATTGCAAATTATAATACTTTAGTATAGATATAGGAGAATTTTCTGCCGACTTCCAAAAAGGAGCCGGTACTCAATTCGACTGTATGTTTTTTTTTTTTTCGTTTTTTTTTTTTTTATGTGTGTTACCTCAGAACTTTTTTCTGGGTGAACCGATTTTGATGATTCTTTTTTTATTTGAAAGCTGGTACTTCTCGTGTGGTCCCATATGAATTTGATCAAGATCAGTCCAATAGTTTTTAAGTTATTCTTAAATAACTTATATTGAAGTCGGCTGTACAAAATTTTTAATTTTAAATTATTTAAATATCTTGTTTTGCAAATGTTAATTTCTCCTTCTTGTGGCTCTAATTATCGGACAAGGCTATGACGACCGACTAATGGCGAAAAACCCATCCACAATTATTATTGTCTCAATACCTCATGTTCTAATTTATAAATATTATTATATTGACTTGAAATATATGTACAAGGTGTAATTAATATACCGTTAAATTATATTGAATACCAGAAATGGCGACGAGAGATTACAGTTAGTTAATTAGAAGGCTCCTAAGCAATTAAGTGAGGGGCTTAGGCCTTTCCTAATTAAATTACTTGAAGGAATTATCTTCAAAATACCCTTATCATCTCCCATGTGGTTCAGAATTTTACATTCCTTGTTTCGAAGTGAACATTGTAGGGCTTAGTTTGATACATCATATTAAAGATTAGCGATCTGTGATTTCTGGAATTCAACACCAGCTACATTCACCGGGTCCAAATTTATGTGCTTTCATACCATCTAAGGAAATTTTAAATCGTTCGAACACACAATTTTTTTTTATCAAAACCGGTCGAGCCGTTTTTGAGTTTTAGCGAGAGGAGACTAACGGATAGTAATTGATTTTTATATATAGAGATTATATTATTTAAAGGAAGATTTACATATATTTACTTCGTAAAAAAGTCTGTCGCCAAATTTCAGCATCTCGGCAAAAGCATTAAGCCAAGCGTGAAGAAGGCAGTAAAAACCACATAGAAAAGAAATAACGCCTGGTAGCACACATGCAAACATACCGCGCACAAAGGTACCGGCTTCTACCTGAAAAAGAAAACAAAAATATTTATTATTTATTTGATTAATATTTTGCGTGTCTGTCACTCATGCTATATACAATTTTGTAAATTGCGTTTATCAATACTATTTATAAACTACACCAAATCTGACAATGGATTTCATTGCTACTAAAAACAGTACAATTATACTTTAACTGTACCTATCTGTTTCGTTATCGTTTTATTTGATGATACAAAACTTCTGTAGATATTTTTTGGGTATGTGCCGACGATAATCAATAAAATTCACGACAATTTTTCTAATTGTCTCCACACTGTGCTTCTCGGAGAATGTACAACACAGAATACAATTACTCTCTACCGAGTATGACGACACAGGCACAGGTCACGACTGAAATAAAGGATATGACAGTCGTGACCTGAGCCTGTGATCATTTCTCAAATAATAATATGCATTTTCCTTGTATGTACTGCATAAAGAAAATTTCAATAAAAAAGTTCGTCCGGTTTAAAGTATATAAAATGTGCATCGATCAAGGAAGAAACATTTTGGCTGAGTTTCATTTGCGAGACGCGCAGATTCTATTTTCTCAAAACCATGCTTTTGTTACCACAATCAATTCAATTTATTGAATAGTTAATCGACCGAAGGCTTTAAATTAAACATGCCTTTTATTAATACGATTATTAATAATAACTGAACCTTTAAAATGTGATGTTAACTTTTACTATAGTTAAATTATTAATATCCACTGTCCTTCCTGGCCGATTGCCTCGCGTAACTCGCGTATTGAGCGTGATTGTTTGTTTTTGTGCAGTTATCAGCACTCACTTACTATCTATACTATCTATTGTCGTGTAGTGGCGGTTAAGAATATCCACTACCCCATATCTTCCCGTGGGTGTCGTAAAAGGCGACAAAGGGAAACAGGCAGGAGATGGGCAGCAGCATCTTCCTGGTAACGGCAAAAATACAATAAAAAACTGCGGTTGCCAACCCGCTCGCCAAGCCTGGCAACTATGGCAATATACCCCCCATGATGAAAGTTACGAAGAGACGGTAACAAAGAAACTGCCCCCAGTCCCCGGCGGCCCCGCTCTTCCTGGCTACGGTGGCGACCATGGTAACGGCGGGGCAGGGAGTGCTAAGAATCTCCGGTGAAGGTTCGGTTGCGACCTACGACGACTCGACCTGGGAACATACAACGCACGCACCCTGAGGACTGACGAGAAGATTGTGGAGCTGGAAGAAGAGATAGACAAGTTACGCTGGCATATTATAGGATTATCCGAAGTCCGAAGAGAGGGGGAGGACACGGTAATCCTCGAATCCGGCAACTGCTCTATTACCGGGAGGGCGACCATCTATCCCAAGGAGGTGTCGGATTTATCGTCCACAAGTCTCTCGTTAACAACGTTGTAAAGATTGAGAGTGTGTCGACGAGGGTTGCGTACCTTATACTCAGAATCACCAAACGGTATTCGCTGAAGGTCATACAGGTTTACGCACCAACCTCGGCACACCCCGATGGGGAGGTGGAGGAAATGTATGAGGATATCTCTAGAGCCATGCATTCCTCCAAAACCCAATATACGGTGTTAATGGGAGACTTCAATGCAAAACTAGGCACAAGAGAGAACGGTGAGCTGAAAGTGGGGAAATTTGGAATAGGGCAACGGAACCCAAGGGGCCAGCAGCTGGCTGACTTCATGGAGAAAGAGGGACTCTTTATGATGAACTCTTTCTTCCAGAAGCGGCCCCACAGGAAGTGGACCTGGTCGAGCCCCGTTCAGTGATGTCTCAGTGATCGCGAGGGTGAAAACCGGCAGCGATCACCGAATGGTTAGAGGCACACTGAACCTAAACGTTAAGTTGGAGAGGTCTCGTCTAATGAAGTCAACGCTCCGTCCCCCTCGTGCTCTAATCCAAAGTCCCGAAACCTTTCAGCTCGAGTTACAAAACCGTTTTCAGTGCCTAGAAGACTGCAATGAAGTGGACGATTTGAATGACAAGCTCGTGGAAACTGTCCATGCGGTCGGAACTAAGTTCTGCAAGACCCGCCGCAGAAGAACACAAAAACTCTCCGATCACACTCTTAATCTCATGGCTGTTACACGGGAGATGAAGATACATTCTTCAACAGATTTGACAGCATACAGACAACTGAACAGACAGATCTCCAAATGCATGCGGCGGGACTTACGCAACTTCAATACAGCTCGTATTGAAGAAGCGATCGAGCGGAACCAAGGCTCCAAAGTCTTTGCCAGAGATCTGTCTGCCAGAAAGAGCCAACTGTCAAAGCTAAAGACTGAATGTGGCAGCATCGTTTCCGGGGCACCTGAGATTTTGAGTGAGATTGAGAGGTTGCCGCACGCAAGTGTGAGTAACGATTCAAGAGCGAGTCTTATCCGACATTATTCTGATTATATCCCGGACGTCAGTCTGAGCGAGATTAGAATGGCTCTCCAGCACCTTAAAAACGGAAGGCCCCAGGCGAGGATGGAATTACAGCGGAGCTTCTGAAAGCGGGTGGAAAACCGGTACTTGAAGTCCTTCAGAAGCTCTTTAATTCCGTCCTCCATGGTGGCATTATACCGGAGGCGTGGAGCAGAAGTGCGGTAGTCTTGTTCTTCAAGAAAGGCGACAACGCTCTCTTGAAGAACTACAGACCGATTTCCCTTCTGAGCCGCGTCTACGTGCTGTTTTCGAGAGTCATTACGAATCGTCTCGCGCGCAAACTTGACGACTTCCATCCTCCCGAACAAGCCGGTTTCCGAAAAGGCTTTAGCACCATAGACCACATACATAGCCTTCGGCAAATTGTACAGAAGTCCGAGGAGTACAATTTGCCACTATGTCTGGCGTATGTGGACTATGAGAAAGCCTTTGATTCCGTCGAAATTTGGGCGGTGCTGCAGTCCCTTCAGAGATGCCAAGTTGACTGTCGGTATATCGAAGTGTTGAAGTGCTTGTACAGTAGGGCTACGATGGCTATCCGAGTACAGAACCAGAGTACGAAACCTATCCAATTGCAGAGAGGTGTAAGACAGGGTGACGTCATATCCCCGAAACTCTTTACCGCTGCATTGGAAGATGTTTTCAAGCTTCTGGACTGGAAAGGATACGGTATCAACATCAATGGCGAGTACATCACTCACCTTCGATTTGCCGACGATATAGTCCTTATGGCAGAATCGCTGGAGGACCTAAGCACTATGCTCAATGACCTCAATCGTGTTTCCCAACGGATAGGTCTTAAGATGAACATGGACAAAACAAAGATCATGTTTAATGTCCATGTCACACCTATGACGGTAGTTGTTGGGAACACTAAGCTCGAAGTTGTTGACGAGTATGTTTACCTGGGACAAATAGTCCGACTAGGTAAGTCCAACTTCGACCGAGAGGTCAATCGACGGAATCAACTCGGTTGGGCAGCGTTCGGGAAATTACGGCACATCTTCTCGTCAGGTATACCTCAAAACTTGAAAATGAGACTGTACACCCAGTGCGTGTTACCAGTGATGACATACGGAACTGAGACGTGGTCCTTTACTGCTGGCCGGATGAGGGAGCTCAAGGTCGCTCAGCGAGCTATGGAGAGGGCTATGCTCGGAGTTTCTCTGCGTGATAAACTCAGAAATGAGGATATCCCAACGGATTAGTAAGCTGAAGTGGCAATGGGCCGGCCATATAGCTCGAAGAGCCGACAACCGTTGGGGAAAAAAGGTTCTCGAGTGGCGGCCTCGTACCGGCGGACGAAGTGTAGGGCGTCCCCCCACTAGATGGAGTGACGACCTGGTAAGATATGCAGGAAGTCGATGGATGCAGGTGGCTCAGGATCGTGCTTTGTGGCATTCTTTGGGGGAGGCCTATGTGCAGCAGTGGACTTGTGAAGGGCTGTAATGATGATAATGATGACTTACTATCAGGTGAACTTTGTGCTTGAGTCATCATTTCTTCTGTAAAGAATTAAAAGAAAACTTCATGATACAGTAAAAGCTTTTCGTATATAACATTTTTAAGAAATATTTTTTATAATTTATAATATGTCGTGACGAAAGTAATAACTTCATCTATATTCAATGGTTTGTCTTTTCATGACGTTTGGTAAAATAAAAAAAAACGGTAGCTTACTCTCGCTTCTTTCCCGTAATCCGACCAGTACGGTAAAATGAATCTCTCCCAAAGAAAACTGTTGTAAAATATAATAGCCGCTACTTCCAGAAAATGAAATAATACAACACTCCATCTAATTTTCTTTGTTCTGTAAGGAAAATAAAAACATTAATACATAAGTAATGGATATTGTTGATCATGTTTTTATCCATTATAAGAAAGTGTTTGACTGTTAGGTATCCCATCTGATAGTAAGTCACGACTTACTATCTTTACTTATTTTTTTACTATTTTTATATCATGATATAGCCAAAGATAGTAAAGATACTTAGTTTAGCAAAAGAACATGCACACTTGCCTTCAAAACTTCTTTACTATTATAACCATAACATACATGGCTATACACACTATTATAAAAGACGAAGCAAATCGTTTGGTTCGAATGCGTCGTATGTCTACAGCACAGGAATGGAGACTGGCCGAGCGATTGGTTGTCCAATGCTGGATAATTTATTTCTTTTTTCTGTGATTGTTTAGTAGGCACTTGCAGCAAATTTCACAATACACGTGCGTCCCGAGATCGATCCATCGTTTCGACCTTCCAAGAGATGAGAGGATATCTCCTCAGGAGTAGGACATGTTATGGCTCCCGGCCACGACAAGGCGGAAACCCGTTTGTGGGGGGCTTAGTAGCCGTAGCTTGGTCACCCGCGGTGAACAAAGAGACACCCCTTGGCTGGCCTGTGGTGTAGGGCCGGCCGGAGGTGGCCACTCCGGGTGGGCTTGGCGAGCACACTTCGGATGTGTGTCGGTGGGCTACGGCGAGAGGGGTGACCTCTTGCCCTACCGCTGCTGCCAAGGTGGAGTTGCGGAGGAAGAGGAGTATTGGTATGGCGATGCGCCACTCGCACTATCCTGACGGGAGCGCGGGGGGACACGAGTGTCGGTATTGCGAGGCGACGTTCTCCCTACCGTCCGCGGCCGAAACTTGTTTGAACCAGAGACCAGATCCGCCGCTGGGGTCGGGAAAGCGAGTGCTAGGTGCCGAGCGCTCGATTTTCGTAGCTCCGTTGCCTCCACGTAGACGGGGGGGGGGGGGGTATTACGCAGGTGGAGTTGGAAGCCGTGGAGGAGAGCGTGGGAGGATAGGTCCTCCCCCGAGGAGAAGCTGCCATGAGTCAGCCGGCGCTGGTGGTACCACGGATATGTGTGAAAGCATTCCCGGGGCAAGCAAGCGCCAATACGTGGCGAAGGTGGAATACCATAGACTTTTAGTCGGTGCTAGTCCGACATAACACGTCCTTGCTCCTCATGTAAAAAATGACATGTTATGGCTGTTACTTTATTCTTTTTTCAAAAAACGTTGCCCACACTAGGATTTTCTCCTGTATCGCGGAGGCAGTTTACAAACATAAATTGCACAAGGACAAACATCCAGGACCCGGAACAATTATTTGTAGGCCATACAAATACTTGTTCCGTGCGGAATTCGAACCCGCAGCCCCAAGTGCTGGAACGCCTTGATAAGCACTGCGCCACGGAGTCGTCGTTACTTTTACCTTTCATTTCTTTTATCGATTTAGTTTTTACTTAAAAATTGATATGAACTGCCCATATGACTGATATGTTACATCTATAATCTTTACAAATTTTTACAAAAATACTTATTAACATTTTATTTTTTTATTTTACATAGGTTACATATTTTACATTTCACATATTTTTGAATGAACTTAATATAGGCAGACTAACATACAATTTAAATAATTCCGTGTATCAAAGTATTGTTGAGAATTATATGAAATCTTCGTACTATGTCTAAGAAAAGGTTTTGTTTAGACTGAGATATCTTTTACGAACGACAGTAACGGAGTGTATTATTTGCTTTAGACGAGAAACGAGGGTGCGCCCGCAAATACAGCCGTGATTAGATTAATTTTCAATGTCGAATTTATTCCTCAGATCCCTAACATAGGACGGAAAGAAGTAACGAAACAATATTTTTTAAGTGGAAATATAAAGGAGAATGGGAGTTTTGGGCCTGAAGTTAACTAATTGGTTTATACTGTAAAAAATTGCATATATTTTTCTAAAGTAGAATACAAAAAGTAGCCCTTTTTACAATCTAGAATTCGAAAAAACAATAAAATAAGAAATAAGTTAAAAAATTGATTGTATTAATATCGATATTATATTTATTCGGATCCAAAAAAATTAAATGAAAAAGCTTGCAAGGTTTCACTAAAATTATATTATTTACTTTGAATGGTATATTCATTTGGAAATAAAATATATTATTCGCTTATAGAAAAAAGAAAAATAAACATTTTATGGCATAGAGCGCATTAATATTTATTTTCGATTATTTTTCTGTGTTATGGAGATAAAAATTGCGAACATAACTTTTCTTTAGTGATTTTATACTGATTCTGCTTTTATATTTTTAAGTGATTACAGTGAAAAATATCCTGTTACAGTGTAATAACAGTGAAAAATCACCTGTTATAGTATAGGTAATACATAATCTCACTTTTACTTATTCTACAATAAATAAGCTCCTGGATTGACAAATCTTACCAGATTTTCAGCTATGAATTGTTTATATATACGCTTTTAAATGGTCATACTTTCATCTTGTTAACACCTGGGCCCAAGAATGTATGGAGACGGCTCCTTCTCCTTTATAACTCTGTGACTAAACTTTTTAAATTTTGATTAAAACCTTATCTATACCCATCTTATAGTTTTATAATGTTTTATTCACATATCTTTTATTTTCAAAATGTGTGCCTTTTCGCCAAAATATAAATATGTATGTTTTAGTTTCTATTTTAAATTTTAAAACTAAACTATCTGCTGTATTAAAAAGAGTTATGGCAATTTTTATCGATTCCTATATCACTGAGAAATTCTTCATGAATTTACTACATACCTTGGATATTCATCTCTATACACTAATGTGGGTGCAAACAGGAAGTAAACGTAATGTTTGAAGGTTGGCAGCGGTGTTCCATCATCCAAGCATCGGGGAGCACACGCCACGGCTGTGGCATGTATTTTCATCGCTAACCTGAACTGAAATTTTATAATTCAATTCTAACTTTATCCGGCTTAGTTAAATGTAAGCAAAATTTCCGAGTAAGTTACTTAAAGGCTTATTTAAATATCCTACGCTAAGCTGCCTTACAAAGGAGTTCAGTGTGGGGATCAAGGGTAAATGGGCACAATCACAAATATTTCTAGTGTAATATGCGTTGGTGTTTTTAATGTCATTATTATTTTAAGATGATAGGATAATATTACAAACATTTGATATTGAGAAAATATAAAATATATAACATAACTAGCTGACCAGGCAGACGTCGTTCTGCCCTTTCCGACGACCATTTGCTTTTCTAAAAAAAAACTCCTAAAATTAGCAATAAAAAAATTGAGGGTCACTTATCGGGATAAAAACTATCCTATCTCTTAAGTTGGACCAAACTGCACACAGTGTGCAAAATTTCATTGAAATCAGTTCAGTAGTTGAAGAGTTCATCGCGGACAAACAATGTGACACGTAATTTTTATATATAAAGATTAATAGAATCAGGCATTACTGTGCGGAAATCCATTATATTGAATTGAATAAAACTACTTTTACGGATTTTATCGCGTTTAATTAACTTATTTTATATTCCCGACGTTTCGGTTGCTTACCAGCAACCGTGGTCACGGGGGACTGTTGTTGGAAAGCAACCGAAACGTCGGGAATATAAAATAACTCAATTAAACGCGATAAAATCCGTAAAAGTAGTTTTATTCAATGTGTAGTGTTCGAGTAAATATAAGAAACCATTATTGAAGTTCTAAAAAATCAATTTGCTAGGATCCGTTTAATAAAATAAAATGATGTGTCTTACCAACTTTGAAGAGCACATTCCGCCTTTTTTTCAAACTAGGTAAGGCACATCTTTCTTTTTATTACCCATGCAGATGTTTCCAATGAAAAGGGTCTCCGGTGTGTAGTAACACTCACCATACGAAACACAGCAGGATTAAGCTGTTATATTACGCTGATATTCCGTGAGAGCGTGGTCCTTCTCCGGTCGAGCCGACTCATTCGTGCCATAATATAGCTGTAGCGTGGTTCTACCGCGTAAAGTACATTTCATGTAATAGGATACCACACTCTTATATATATCAGCCACCAAATGTTGTGTCTGCAGAGTTGTGTTCCTGTCTGACGTAGAGTCAGTTTAATTTATGGCTGTAAGGCATTCCATCTAAATTCTTACAGGTGACAACGCATTTGTAGTCTTCTTTGTTCGAAGTTGACTGCAGGTGTACATAGGTTGTAGTAGCTCGTAACATCACGGGGACTGTAATTTCGTTCGTCACTTCAATTTTATAAAAATTGCAATATATAAATATTACGTTTTTAGATGTATGCGGAAGCTTTCTTGTGAACCTGCCAATATGCGGCGAAAGTGGAACACCATGGGGTTTTAGTCAGTATGAACCCAGCATAACTCGTACTTGTCCCCGCGAGGTGGGTATGCGTAAGCATTTCTCCTTGTAAAAAAAAGGTGATTATGGGCTGTGTAGCCTCCTACCATCAGATGGATTTTAAGTACGTTCGTCATTTCAGTTTTGAAATAAATCTCTGGTTAACATACTCTGTTTAACTAATATGTCATATAAATAAGCGTATAAAATAAAGTTGAAAAAAACAACTGCCAAATATAGCTTACGACCCAATTTAAACCCTAATCATAACCTGGCTTACGAAACGAGTGAATAAACCCGACATACTTTAAACAGAAAACCTAAAAGGTACCTACATACTTAACGTTGACAGGACCTCATATGTGCTATTTAATTACACACTGCCGTACGCACAAATATTTATAGGTCGTGTGGCTAAACAGCGTCGAAAGTGAAATGTAACATAAATCAGTCGGGACCCTTGTCAGAGCCGAAACTGTGTGCCAGTAAATAACCGCGTCCGCACCGGCTGCTGCTGACGAAACCCCATTACCTAAAGCGTGGCCATCTGCCACCCGCTCTATGCTTGCCGCCGTCATTCGGCCGCCCGTGGTCCGTCGACGCTATAAATTATTTATTATTTTGCAACACTGGGTTTTAGGCATCTAATGGAATCAGTTTGTAATATTTGCAATACCGTTGAGTGTTTAAAATCAAGAATACGATAATAGTAACAAATCACATCTTAGACATATTAAACTCGTAAGTCATAGATTAATGATAAGTCATCGCGGTCAGAGCGCGCGATGACTTATCATTAATCTATGCTCGTAAGTCTTCCAAAAGTGCGCCAGCCGGTCTGTGAAATTGATCGTGACTTCAGCGTTTTTAAATGAATTCATCAACATAATCTCGCAGTTTAGTTGCACTTGTATCTAAAAAAAAAACCGCCCAAGTGCGAGTCGGACTCATGCACCGAGGGTTACGAACAAATCCGTAGGTATACAAGTTTAGAATTATTAAAAATATTTTTATTATATTATATAACTAAAAATTTAAGCTTTTCGCAATTTTTCCTTTATCTGTGCTATAATACGTTGCTTCGTACCAAATTTTAAGATTCTGAGTTCACGGGAAGTACCCTGTAGGTTTTGATTCCCTTGCGAATGTCGAAAATTTGCGGCATAAACGGCTGTATCTTTTAATTGCGTTGGCTTAGAGGTTTGATTTTTCACAGCTCCAAGGGACAGTAGACTTGAGTATTTGATATGAATTTCAGCTTGATACCTCCACGCGTTCCAGAGAAAAATGTTCTTGACAGACAGACGGACAACAAAGTGATCCTATAAGGGTTCCGTTTTTTCGTTTTGAGGTACGGAACCCTAAAAATTATGAAAATATTCCCATAACTCGCTACCATTGCGGTTGTGGTACCATACTCCGGATCAGACAATGCTCAGAGGACCTATTTGTCCATGAGCGTAAATTACTATGGCAACGTTTAAAAAAAACGTTTTCGTGAGTGTAGCTTACATCCGCTTCCGACAGCATTAATTATTCGTCGCTTCATTCGAGACATTGCGGTCAGTCAAGTTATAGGCAATAGAGTATAAGGAATTAGTGGAATCAATAAATCAAACATATATAGAAGTCATTTAAGGAAGTCATACCATTTCGGACGTCACGGCGACCGAAGAACCAATTGCGAGATGCTCTTTGGCTAGGTCCCAAGTAGGTACTGCGATCACTAGTATTTCTAAAAGTCCTACTCCCAGTATACCCAGGATGGACGATATTTTGCGAGCAGCTGGAATAAAAAAATTGTCAGTTGTCTAATTGGCAAAAATTCATATAGTGGCCATAAGAGGCCTATGTTTTGGCGTTTCCGTTCAGTTAAACTTGACTATATAGTAATCACACGCTGATGACTAAAAATAAATGGATACTAATAACATATTGTTTCTTTTTTTAAACTAATAATTTTGTTTGAATTTATTTTAAACTTTTATTTATTTAAATTCCGCCTTATATAAAATAGGAAACAACGTGAGAATTATTTTTGTATTCAATTTTAAGCTTTTCGCTTTATTTTACCTTTTACTACCTGTTTGAGTAATAATTAGCACATTTTATGCAAAAAGTTATAAAATAAAAAAGCAAAGTATGTCCGTATGAGGAAGCTTAAATTCATTTTATTATAATATAATGTAATAATGTAATTAAATAATTGATCATGTAGTGGCGTGTGTAAGAATATCCACTTCCCCATATAAGAAGAGGCTACATAGGGATACACACCAGGATAGAGACATCAGCATCTTCCTAATAAAAACTAAAAAAATGTCCTCTTTACGAGGTAATCTATTGGGGGGGGAGGGGGGGGGTTTGCTACGTTCAGCAGTGTACGTTAATAAGTTGTAATTATCGAATGAATGACGATGCATAATATAATAATGCAATGCTTTTAAAAACAGTAGGTATGTTATCGTGAATATTTGCCCTTTTGACACATCTACGTGAGCATTTAAGCAATTTTTGCAGCTCGACGGTCCGTAGACGGGACTAACCAAGTGATTAATTGAACATGGCGTCGATGGTGCTTTGCCTTTGTTTGCCTTTTCCGTGTAATATTAAACGATTTATAATGCATTGTATGCATGATACGCTGCTCTTTTAAGTTGATTTTTTAATTTTTTATTAAAATGTTTAATGCATTGCATCAGTTTTTAAGAAATTCTTAAAAATATATTTAATTTTTTTAACAAAAATTAAAGTAAATTAAATTAAGACTGTAGTTTAGTTATTTAATAAAAAACAATTTATAAAAGTTTTTTGAATTTTAAACTTAAAATAGTTCTATTTATGTATAATTTGAATAAAAAATCAAACGTTTCAGTTAAAATAATAATAATAATGTCCTCCAGACCGAATTTCTTTGACAAGATTATAGTGCCCAAGTGTCTTCGCAAGCACTCACTATTCCGTCACTCTCAGAGTCCGATGGGACGGTAAGCCGACACGACCGGAGAGAGATCAGGCGCAGGACCAACGGCTTTACGTGATTTCCGAGGTACGGGAGTGAGACACCGTCAACTGCCTGACTTCTCGGCAGCTACTGAGAATTTCTTGATAGAAAAACTCAATAACTGATTTTTTTGACCCGACTCGGGATTCGAACCCAGGACCTCATGATCAGCAGTCGCACTACTACAACCACTAGACCAACGAGGCAGCCAGTTAAAATATAATGACGTTGGTACCATTCGATTATGTCAACTTTATTTTTATAAAATTGTGGTGAAAACGAAGTTTATAGTAGCAATAGTAGCCCATGCCCATGATACCTGCAGCCAAACAAAGTAGGCTATGGTATAGCGTTATACTGGCTCTCTATACACTTCAGAACGGAACACAATAGTGCATGCACTGCTGTTTGACGCAGAAATAGATAAGATGATGGTATCTACCTAGACAGACTGCTACGCAGTACAGGAGTACAACCGTATAAGTCCTTTCATCCAACAAGTAATCAAGTATAGTCAAAAAGTAAGTCTATTTTAATCATTTGATTGGAAGGAAACTAATTTTACGGATTTTATCGCGTTTAATTTTAACTTTTGAATTCCCGACGTTTCGTACACTGCACCGCATCCACGGTCACCCTACCCATGACCACAGGTGACACAAAGTGACACTAAAGTGTTTGACGCCCTGATGTCGAAAAGTCGAGAATTAAAAAAAGTTAAAATTAAACTCGTAGTATTTGAGTAAGAAATCATCATATCTGAGTATCATCGGAATCGGTAAGGGATACCTGAAAATGATTTCTTATTAGTGAGCTATGGACTATGTACGGCGTTTCTCTGCGTCATAAAATCTGTAACTAGGATATCTTCAGAAAAACAATGGTAACTGACAGAGTCCAATGTATCAATTGTATAAAGAGGCAATAAACTACAGCTTAGGATAATATGTTCTTGCTCGTAGAACCGGCAATCGAAGAAGAAAAAATGTTTTTGAATGACAGATTCTTACTGATAAGCCCAGTGTTGGGCGAACCCTAATTAGATGGAGATACGATCTGATAAAACATGCCAGACATGTTTTATTTATGATTCTCCATCAATGGATTTAGGCAACGCAAGAGGCTTAAGTTGATGATAATGATAATGAGATATACTAAGCTAATTAATTAAAGTGTTTCTAAATAAACCTTCATTTAAGATATGTTTAGCTATAAGGCATTATTAGTTTTTGATACTGCCCTCTGGGTTAGCTTAGGTTGCCATTTTAATTATAAGTAAAACAGAAGAAGAGAATATAGAACTTCTTAAAAAGGTGTTATAAATTTTCAAAGATAGCCTTTAACTACAAAAATGTCACTTTTTAAAGATGGATAATGAGTTTTTGGGTTATAGAATATATTCGGAGAGCATAAAATCTACAGAAGGTAAGGTTAAAGAAGTAAAAGACCAGTCCGAAATCATTTCACCAAGTTCATTAATGTTTGGATCTCATTAGTCAGTATCGGGAATTCATAAAAATTGTATTATTTTATCCAGTCCTCTTACCCAACTGTTAAAAAAGATGACCCTTAGGTTCGCGTAGTGTATATTTTCTTTGCCTTATGTATGGAAAATTGAATATTCTAATATTATTCGACACTACTTAATAATGTTAATAATAATGAAAATGCTGGTACGCCGTAGACAAATGAATTCATTATTTAACACAGTCGCCAAACTAGATGATGAAAAATAATCATTCTTTCAAGCTCAGTAAAAAATTTAAAGATTACTTATTAGGGAGTCATTTTTGTTTTGTTACGGATTGCAGCGCAGTTGAGCTTAAAGTAAATAAAAAAATACAAAGAATTGCTAGATGGGTTTAAGCAACTCAAAAATTTTATTACGCTCTTATTCACAATAAGTGTGCTCGCATGCAACACGTACATTTATTAAGTAGGAAACGTTTAAAATCTTGGAAAAGATTATAGAAGGAATAATTATGTCTATTACAGGCTACTTTCTGTTCAACTTCTAGATTCTCGAATAGTTATCAGAAAGTCTTAGAAATCTGGAGAAGCACGTAAATATATAGAGATATCTAATATATAAAAAATAATGTTTGTTTGTTCGATTTATGCGCTGCCATACCGTTCATTAGATTGCGCTAAAACTTTGTCAACTTATTGCTTACCATAGTACAATTAACTTACATTAATTGGCGTGCGTAACATACAGACAAATTTATTTGAAAGTTGTATATCTTTTAATTTGATCATGAATGCATTATCATTCCTAATTAAACAATATAACTCTTCCAAATTTGAAACGATATTTTCACATTTATTTCTTCTGCCGGAGCAACGCGCCGAGACCAGCCATTATTTAATAAAAATATGAACTATTAGTATGTTATTAGTTAACACAGTATATCGACGTAGAAGTCAATGTGGGCGTTGGAACTCTGCATGAAATAGAATCACGATGACCTCGGTCATTTTTCTGTTAATAAAACAATCGAAGGAAATCAAGAGATGAGACATATTATAATAAAAGAAAAATAATTTTATAAAAGGTGTCTCAATTACAAAAATTAAGGCGAACCATTTATTACCAAAATCTGAATCTCCATTCCGAACTTTGTATTTAGATTACCTAGGCCATTTTGTAGAAACTTGGAAATATAGTGGATATATTGTTATAGGATAAGGGTGTAAGGGTGACAAACGAGCACACTGTCCATCTGATGGTAAATGGTTGCTGTGGCCCATAGAAATCTACATCTATCCAAAATGCAGATGCGTTGTCACCCGTGAAGACTAAGATGTAATGCCTCGTTTAAAGTAAAAAGGTTCTCCGGTTCTCTACACTCACCACTATTTTACGCTGGTATTCTGTGAGAGCGTGGTCTTTCCCTGATCGAGCCGGTCTAATTTTACTACAACTATAATAATATAGCTGCAGCATGGCTCTACCACGTATAAATTACTATATATTAGCGTAGTACTATTATTTATTCTTTGTTATTAGTCACAGTTTACCAGCGTAAAATGGCAGCTGGACACTGCTGTGTTTCGTATGGTGAGTGTAGAGAACCAGAGACCCATTTTACTGGAAAAGAGGTATTCCATCTTAGTCCTCACGGGTGACGACGCATCTGCATTTTGATCCTTTATTGAGGATAAATGTCTATGGGTCACAGCAACCACTTACCATCAGGTGGACTGTGTGCTCGTTTGTCACCCTATCCTATTAAAAAAACAGTAGAGATGTTCACTAAATTCATTAAGTTCATATCAGCGGTTACTATCACAGGCAGTAGTAATGTGATTCAAGAATTCGTAAGCGTATTGAAAATATTCGATAATCCGTGAAAGTTGAGAATGCCGAGTATGACGATGCGTAAAAATATTAAGTTGCACACTTTAGCTACGCATATGCCTGAGTCTAATAGGAAAGTCGAAAGGGCAGTGGCTTAGCAATCAGTTGTTGCGCTGGGGGCTGCGGGTTCGAATCCCGCACGGAACAAGTATTTGTATGGCCTACAAATAATTGTTCCGCGTCTGGATATTTGTCCTTGTGTAATTTATGTTTGTAAACGGCCTCCATGACACAGGAGAAAATCCTAGTGTGGGGGTGACGTTTTTTGAAATAAAAAAAAATTAATAAGAATATTTTGGAAGCATTTAGATAAAGGTAATTGGGATAAATGTATCATAGCTTTACAACAAGCGATTAATAGCACGTTTTACAAAACCATGCATTCATGATTGGCATCCTGAAAATAAAATAATAAACTGAACTGAAATCGTCATATTAAAAGACATGTTGGCATAGTAAAGTTATACATTTTAAATAACGGAACACTATTTAAAATAATGATGTCATAATCCTTTAAACATCTTTTATGCATGTGATGTAAAACCTTACATCATAATTATGGAAAAGACGCTGAAAAGGACTAACCCAGATACTGCCTAGAATAGCAGAATTGAACTGACAGTCATTTCATTAAACTGAAAACAGTCACAATTATTAATATGCGTGAATTGATAAAGTTAGTCGTAGAGGTTATCTTAGACTAAAATTAGTTTGCAGTAAGCTATCCCATAACTCAAAGTTCCGTTTGTCTTAAGAGTATATAGTTATCTGAGTAATGTGACAATAGGTCAGATTTAAATGCCTATGCACTCGTATATACCTACGTGTGTTTCAGTTATTAGTGTTCAGTGTGTGCGTGCGTGCGTGCGTGCGTACGTGCGCGAGTGTGTGCGTGCGTGCGGACCGTGTAGGCAACATCGCGGCAATAGTGTGAAGTTCCTGCGTAAGATTCAAATATAATAAAATATACCTAATTGCTATCACGGCCTGCATCAACTACCGAACGCGATGCAGGCCACAAGTCGTATATTAATTAACTAGCTTTTTACCCGCGGCTTCGCTCGCGTGCGCTTGAATTTAGGGACATCATTAAATGCTGTTCCGTGTCAAATTTAGAAATAATCGATCAATTTTAGAGTCACCTTGGTGTCTATGTCTCTATGTCTGTCGAAGATTTTTTTTCATTCTAAAATACTATTAGACGTAGATGATTGGTAACATGCTACAGAAACACCTGAATATACTTATAATATGTCTAGAAACTCCTACTATTTTTTATATATGGCGTGTCTTCCGATTCCGATGTATCCATAAGAAAGGTAAATAGTCTTGAAATCAAAATGTATTATTATTACTTACATTTTACTCTTTACATATATATATTCATAGTTAAAGTAAATTTAGTTTTAACAAAGTAATATAATGTTTATTTGAGACATTTTATTCATATCATTGGTCCTATTTAATATTGATTGGCACCATAAAAAGATATAGATATTTTTATTTACTACGAGTAGACTTGAAAATTTCATAAATACAGTTCTATAATAATGGATACCACACATGGATTAAAACTAATGTTACGGGTTTTTTACGCATCTTGACTCCTCACCGAATGAAAGCACCGAAGCTCCGGGAAGTCTAAAGTATGTAAACATGTTTAGTATCGTCCCAACCATTATATACAAAAAATTCTTGCAATAGAACACCGAATCCTACCAATGATGATTCGCGAGGCTATTGAAATTAAAAATATCCTAATTTTAATATGGAAGATGGCTGAGTGCTAGTATCTGCTAAGGACTCCATGATTAATAAAATTAAATTCAAACTACTACTGCATTTTAACCATTCTATTTTAACTATGACATCAGGTCGTAAAACACCTCAGTTCTCCCACCCCTCCCGTGACCATGGGTGCTATAAATTGCCCAAACCATCGGGAATTTAAAAAGTTAAAATTAAACGCGAATAAAATCCTTAAAATTACTTTTATTTCTTATAAATTTTATACACAGTGAACGTGAGGAACACTACACTTATGAACGGGAGTAGAAAAATGTTCGCACTGTTGTGGCGGTGAAAGAAAATCCAACACATCATATCGTCCCGTCGTAAGAGGCGACATAGGAAAAAACAGTAGATGGGATGATCTGCATCATCTTCTTGACAACAGATCAAAATAATAATAGCTGCTGTTGCCAACCCGCCACTATAGCAAATATCCAGCTACTTGAATTTATGGGGGAGGCCTATGTTCATTTCAGTGGACTTTTGATAGGCTGACGATAATGAGTTCTACTCATCTTTGCAAGCCTTAATATTTACGGTAGAGTGAAAACATAAATTATCATACCCGAAAACACGAATGAAATAGAAACTGCACATATTGCCCCATGAAAAGTAAAAAAGCAGCTTACATACATGCTACTACTGGCCGTACTGGGCACAGGCTGTAGAGTTTTTGGCCAAAAAAGAGTTCGCTGCACTGATTCCAACGCGGGATGAAGGTAATGTAAATGATTCAATTATTTACATCGTATATTCAGTAGCATTGTATTATTTAATTTTGTCAATGTCTTGCCATTTTAATTTATTTAGAAGTAAGTAGGTGGCGCTAATATTACATGAAATAATGAAAGCCAAAACTATACCATCTAGCAATAGAAACGAACATTTATTTATTATATCAAATCAATAAGGGATAAAGTGATGTCAATTCTCTTAAAAGTTCTGTTTCTGTTAAAAATAAGCTATCAGCGCCGCTAGCGGTGAAAAACGATAATGATATCGTCATATGACCATATTATGAAATAGCAACGTTGTGTTTAGTTACTAATAACTTCAAAAGATTTCTATTCATTGATTTGGTCAAGGTATATAATGACACGGTCATCAAATAGTGTTAAATACACATTCATTTCAGTCTTTTTTCCAGTGTTTTCACGAAATGATAGACTACTTTATGATATATGATCAATTCTACGATCTGGCCACGTCATACATAAAAATCTCTTTAATAAAACTATGACGATAATGAAAATTCTGCAACAATTGCAGACAGACCAGTTTTTATCACTTTACATATATATTAGTATATAATTGAAATAAATACCTTATCAATTTTCATATTTTTGATAGACATCACTATTATCTATTGAAATTATTACACTTTTAAAATAAAATAACAAAATATTAAAAAACTGAACGTTACAATTTTTTAATAATTTTAAAAATCTAATAATTTAATCATATAAATGTAAGTTATTTATATTATTTCATTTATTAGTAACTGAAGGCAAAATATACAACTTTTTCCATTTGATGATAGATGGCGCTGTTTTGAATACGAAATCGGTGTAGTTTCAAATTATTTTACCAAGATTATAACTATATTTTAAACTTTATTTACAAATATGGTAATATGGTATTTATTTGAAAAACACCCGTCATTCCGCCTATAACTAAGATACAACAGAAAATTAACATCTAAAGGAAATTAATATACTTAACCTTCCTTTTTTGAAGTTCCGTAATCGGTTAAAAAGTAGCCTATAAATTGCCCCGGGTTACTGACTACCTACATACAAAATTTCATGTAAATCGGTTCAGTAGTTTTTGCGTGAATCCGGAATACACAGACAGACAGAAAGACAGACAGACAAAAATTCTAAAAACCACTAATTTGGCTTCAGAACCCTTTATTTAGTCCCCTGGACTTGTTTTTTCAAGATTATATTAGAATTACAGACACGACTTTTCTACAGATTTATTATATGTATAGATGAGTGATCTGAAATTGTAATTCTGTCTATAAAATATACACTGTAACATTTAAAGTGAACGTCCAGTCCTTGACGCCTCAGCTACTAAAAATTTTATTATATAATAAAGTTTGCATTAATAATTACCTGGAAAGTTTTTAAAAAGCTTTTGAGTAGCAGCGTATATTCTTAATAACGGATAGAAGGCAAGCGCGACTGCAAGCTCGAACAACCATATTTTCGCGCCACGTCGTATGTCACCGAATCCATGAACTATAGTCGTTACTCCGATGTTTATCCTGAAGAATATATTATGAATATCTTAAAACACAATAATATGAATCACAGATAAGGATAATATAGAGATGTGGCAGTAGGTATTCTTAAACCTTACATAGAATATACATAGAAACATATAAATACTTTTGAGTTAGGGATAACTACAGTCTTCTCTCGTGGCCATTAAACAAAAGTCATTTATGGCACATTTTCAGCCGTACTCCATGCCAGGATGCTCTATGATGAAATTAATTTTTTCTTATTCGTCTAAAACTTTGATTAGAGTAGTCATATAATAATATATTTTTACTAAATAGTTCAGATCTAAATCGTGCAACTCTGAATGCATGGATATACCAAAAAACAGGTGTGCATTGAAACTGATATGTTTTGTCATGTTTTATTCCTCATCAGTCCGTGAAAGCTCACAGTTTTACAAGGGCATGTGCTGTTGTGGGCAGGATTTGCCTTAATCGGCAGCCTGAACGGCTCGCTGCGAATACACCCGTACATAACGCAGCGATGTGTGCAGGTTCACCGACGCTCCGTCGGGGTACAAACCGGTTTGCGCCGGCTCAGTCAGAGTATCCATGAAAGGGCTGTTTGTTAGTCGTGGGCATTTAAATAAATAGACCAACAATATTTCGAAATTTTATACATCAATTAATTTATTAAGTTTTTTGCAATTATTAAATAATTAGATTTAAGTATTTTAATTAAAATAATTAAGAATTAAGTTATTATAAATTTATATAGGTAAATAATAAGTGTTCTGTATAAGCAAAAATGTCTAATAGTTGTACAGTATGCATGAAGAATTCTTGAGAAAATAAGGATATTTACTTTTTTTTGTACTCGAGAGATCAAGTGAAGTAAGTACCTTTTTACGTATTATATACAATAAAACTAGGTAATAATATTGATAGGTATCTAAGTGAGAATGTGTTAGACAGGTACGCCGCCGAGTGATGAAGTCGGTCTGACCTACTTGAAACGTTAGTCAGACTAACCGTGACAGTGCCGTAGATGACAGGATATCCTACGTAATAAGGCTAAATGTGTGACTTTATCCATCCACTATAGTATAGAGGTAGGATGCTTCCTGACCACAGGGGTAAATGCCACTGCATTATGGTTGGAATACAATCGCCAGACATTGGTGGGGGTGGTGGGATTGGTGTTGGTGGAAGTGGTGGAGGTGGCAGTATCGTAGGTAGTGGTAGTAGGCAGTGGACCAACAGTGGCTCCATCAACACCACCACTATCACCACTATTACTCTCACCACCACCACCACCACCACCGCCACTGCCCACGACCACTATCACATCCATTACTACCACCACCACCACTTACACCAAAACTCTTGATTTCAAACAATTAATAGATATGTTGTTACATTAATATATAAGTTAAGTTATAATTAATACGCATGTTGTTTTATGTTATACAATATTTTATTTTTTCCTTAAATTTTTCACATGCATCATGTGACAACCCTATCAGAATAGGTATACATTTTCGACGTTGTTAAGAAGCTTCCCCTCTGGTCCTTACTCTTTATTCTGTGCCTGGGCTACCCAGTCCATGGACGGGGTGTAGATGACTCGTTTACACCAAACGTAATATACCTATATTACGTCTAGTGTAAACGAGAATGTTATATCGCCTTGAAAGGAAGCCATGAGGTCTTTCTGCCGTTTACTTATGTCACCGCTCACGACATCCACATTACAAAATGGAATGATGATTTCTCTTACGCGGCGATAGCAAAAGCACATTATATATCGTCACTGGAATGGCAAAATTACTTAACCGCCAAATTGGGCATATTGAGTTACATACAAATTCGGAATCAGTGATTTTTTCTGCATTGATCTATTTAGGTATCAATGCAATGGAAGCACTTTAGTGGCACTTCAGTAACCCGTATAAAGGTGGGATTATTTTTTTCTAGATTACGGAAACGACACTTTTTTCTGTATTTTTTATACGAGTGTTACTTACGTCATGTTTACTTACTGTAAAAATATACAAATTTCAATCAAAGTAAACTTTACTTTCTGTTGTCAGGAAAAAATGTTGTATTAGTAGTTGTGCTCTTCTTGGAATTTAGTAATAACTTGATATAAGTAATTTTGATTTACGTAAATTCGAATGATTCATGGCGGTTAAGAAAAAATGCCTTATTATTTTTATTGAGTGAATGGCGTTTCAGTAATTTAGCCTGACTGTTATAGAGCAGTTTTCGGGTAATCAGCAACATTGCTTTGCAGTTAAATTTCTGCAAAAGTCACAAAAGTGTTTTATCCTTTCTGTCCAAGTGTATACTACCATCTCATAAGTAAAATTATTAATCACAAAAATATTATTATTGCTGAATAAGTATCGATTTCATAGTAAAAAAATTGTACATAAACGCGCCCACGCAGGCGCAGGCGGTAAGTCAGTCGCATAGATAAGAGTGTATGGTCAGTCGGCTCGACAGAGCACAGAACACTAATACCCTTAGGCGGGACAGAGCTTTAGTGAAAGGTTGTGTATTTTTGCTGCCGCTGCTGCATACAAATTGATCGAAAACAGAGTGACAGTGCAATAACGTCGTTTTAAATAGGTAAGTAAGAAATTTATATTTCATTGATTCGTGATAGTACCTTATAGAAAACATTATTTTTTGATAGAAGTAGAATAAAACGGACGGAATAATTATGTCATGCCATCCGATTGTAAACTACATTTATTTAGTACAGTTTTCGTGATTAAATAATTAAGTTTGGTTTGCAGAATTGTTAACAATAAAAACCATACATGGATATAAATATAGGAAGAGGCATATGACTTACGACAAGATTTAAAAGGCGGGTCATAGTTAAAAACGTCATATTTCATGTCCACAATGTATTGTGTGTATTCGTTCTAGACATGACGTTAAACTGTTCACACCAGGTAGTAAATAATAAATAATAATAAATAAATTTATTCATAAGAAATATGATACAAAGATGATCGTATAAAAAATAATGTATCACATATTTCACCAATTTTGGTATATGAAAACTTATGGTTAGAATATACTCTATTTAAGTAAAATTAAACGTGCATTAGTTTATAATTTTGATATTAATCCTTTAAACACGATCAAACAAGAAAGAGTGTTTAACCGTCAATGGAAATGTTCTTTTATTTTTAGCAGTTTAATAACCGAATAAAATTGTTTTTGCAAAAGCCAATTTAATAAATTTCGTCTAAATCGATTATAATCTAATTGCCTTATTTCATTTGGGATTTTGTTAAACACTTAAATAGCAATCTCATAACAATTTTTTGAGTACAGACTAGTTTTTAAAGAAAGGCAAAATATTTTTTCTGGGTACCTGGTACTATAATTTACTGTATCTTTTAATCTATTAAAAAAATGAGGATACTTTTTTTTACGAATATTGAAAATTCTAAAATGTACATGCAATGTGATTTGCAAGAAACGAGTGGCCCGACGCCACAAATTGCTCGTATTCAATATTTTTGCGCTATAATAGCAAGGTTTACATCTGTCGAGTTTGCCCATAATATGATACCATATCTTAATATAGCACCGACATATGTATGTTATGCTATAAGAGAAGTGTTTCTTGACGAGATTGAAGTTTTTCATGGCAGAGCAAAATACTATAATTACGGTAGGACTCTTCTTGCAGAGTCTTTCTGGATGGGAACCACCGCAATGTCAGATATTCTGCCATAAAGTAGTAATTTCGAAACATTACTGTGTTTAGGTTTGAAGGGCACTATATCCGGCGACATTACTGGGCATAATGAGGCTTAAGAACTGATATCTTAACATGACGAGTGAAGTGCAGTACAACGTTTGATATTGCTATGAAAGTCTTGCGAAGCACTGCATCTGGCATGGCCAGGTGTACCACTTAAAATCAGGTGAACTTCTTACTCGTCTCGTCATATTTTGCCATAAAAATGTCATTGTTTATTTCAGGTCATCATCATCATCATGTATAGTAAGAGGAGAGCTTATTTCAAACGTTACTTGGGAAGCTCAAAATCGAACGATAGTCAGGAGCCTCAAGCCAGAACCACGGCAAAACAAAATTCAAGATTAAGCGTAGTAAGAAAACTGACTTTTATAACTCCACGAAAACAAAAGAATTCTCCAAGAACGAGATACACTACTTTGAACACTGACAACAAGTCCACACAAAAGTCTGAACTATCTGAACCTGTTATATTAACTAATGCAGATGAACAAACTACACCTATAGGTAACAATATACAACAAATTTATGATTTGACAAATGAAAATGAAGAGAGAGAAAAGAATGATATTATAATTAAAAAAGAACTATAAATTTTTAAAGAAATTTTAAGACAACATGAAATTGAAGAGGCTAGCTATCAAATCCAACGGGAACACTCTAATAATTGTGATGACCAAAATAAAATGGATATTAACGAAATTAATTCAGAGACCAAATCATCCAAATTTACCAAATCACCAAATTGTAATTCTAAAAATCTAAAAGTGCAATAAACCTAAAATGTACAGAAGATTTTAAAGCAACTGATAATAATATTGTTTTTCATGAAAGTGAAGATACAAAAAATATGACAGCTTTCAAAGTAGACAAAAATAACGATTATTTAAAAAGAATTAGTAGAAGTTTGAAAAAAACAATAAGAAAGTCAAATGGATAATGACAACAAGTGTATAAATTTGCATGACATCGTAAAATCTGCCATAGGATCGGAAGAAAATGATATACAGTCGCTCTTGACATTGCCAGATTTCGAAAAAAATAGCAAAGATGTAAGCGATTCTTATATGAGAGATGTAGATTTTTTGTCAGATAATGAAGATTTTGTATGGAGCTCTTCATCCTGGGAAGAAAGTGGTTCAGAATCATCAGGATCTGAAGTCATTAAGAACAAGATTAAGAAAACAAACCAGCAAAAAAAACTTTCCCATTCAGCTTCTAAATTAACGGACAATGGACGGACGGATAAAATTTC